TGGCCCAGGATCAGACATTGTTTTGTTCTGCTGTGCATGGGGTTGCTATGAGTCGGTTCTGACTCGATGGCACCTGACAACAACAACAACATACCACATACTTTGCTGAAAAGGGACTTCTGCAAAGCACTCATTATCTTATCTTCTCTAGAAAGATCCTTGAGCTTCACCAATGCCAGGTGGACTGTAACAGTGACTGACACGGAAGTCAAGTTACCTATGATGCTGTGAGGCTCAAAATTACAGAACTTGGGGAAACAGATTTTGGCATGGTACCCCAAATTTACTATGCAACCAGATGATAGGGCCATTGGAAAGCTACTTAAAGAGTATTTTCCTGTATTATTCCCTAAAACATCCTATAAGCCATGGGCCTCCAAAGTTTTTACTGAAAGTGTAAGCTTCAAAAGCTGAGCATTCTTCCACCAGCAAAAGTTTACATTTTAAAAGGCTCTAATACATTTGTCAGTTTTGCTAATGTGACTCTATTTTCTCCCCTTCCAGCCTACTCTAGACCGGTGGCTTCTGAGAGTAAAAAAACATTTGGGGTAAATTTGGCTCCTGCAGCCTTTAAGGGTTACTCTTGACCCTTTTTTTGTTTTTTGTGGGTTTTGTGTTTTTTGTTTTTTTTTTTAATCAAGCCTCAGTGGCTTTCCTCCCTGATATTCATTCTCTACGTCCAGATGCCAATGTTCACCCGTTCACTAAGCTCTCAGCTTCTCCCCTCACCTCCGCACGACCTCTTCTGACCATAGATAGACTGGAAGTTTACATCCTGGGCTCCGCTCGCGAGGCTAGCCGAGTGCCAGGGAACCCGACTCACGCCGGCTGGGCCCTAGCTCACAACACTATGGACCTGCCCGGTCAGGCCCGCTCGCTGCGGAGACCCTCTACCCTCTCGTCACAACCCCTTTCTAGCTTGTGCTCAGGATAGGCAGTCTCGCTCCTAACAAACCAGCTTCAGATCAAACAAAAGTTCTGAGTTGAGACACGCACAGCACAGAGCATCACCAGGTCAAAGGAATCGTCCGCTGCTGGACCCCCGGCCGCCACACCAGTCCCGCTCTCCGCAAGTCAGGCAGGGGCTACCCGGCGAAGGGCAGCCCAGGGACCGTGCGGAGATTGTCCCCGAGCAGGAGGGGACCCACGAGGAGAATTCGCAGACCGTACGGCGGAGAGGGGCTAAAGCCACAGGCACTCGCAGCGCTCAGGAGGGGACAGCGCTGTGGTCACCAGCAATGTCCTGAGCACACACATTCACTGAGCCCCAGTGGGAGCTCAGGATTGGAGATGTGGTGGCCGCCCCTGGGTATCTGCGGACACGGACACCCGGCGGCGCGCCCTCCTCGGTGCGGAAAGACCGACGGGCGGGAGGAACCGCAGCACCAGGCGTCGTACCTGGGACCCCAGGGGCGGCGAGGGTGGGGACACAAGTCCCGGCGCGCCCCCCTCCCTGGCACAACTTTCCGAGCCAGCGCCGCCCTTCCTTACCCAAATACTGCCGCAGGTCGAGCAGGAAGCGCGGGGGTCCGCCGCTGAACTGATAGAAGAGAGAACCCAAGCAGAAGAGCAGCAGGGTGGCCATGCAGAAACCGTAGTCCCGGAGGGAGAAGCGCAGGAGAGGCAGCAGTGGGAGCCGGCGCTTCCAGCTGCCCGGACCCGGAGGGGCGCCCCCCAGAGGGGCCCCGTGGGACCAGGCATCCGCGCCGCCGCCGCCGCCGGGATGCTGCTGCTGCTTCTTCTTCATCGCCCGCTTGGCCGCCGCGCACCGCCTGCCCGCGCCGGGAAGAGGTCACCCATCCGCCTGCGGGAGCAGAGCCCGGCCGGCCGGCTGCACATGGAGGG